GAGGTTCTATGCACATACAAGTTGAATTCCTTTTAGCAGATTTCACTGAATCTGTATCAAAAGCACTTATTACTGGTTGTTTGACCTTGTCTGTTTCACAGACTACCTTTATTTTCTTTTGTTTGATAGCTAGTGGTTAAAATATTGGCCTTTTGAGGCTGAAATTTCATGCCGGTTTTAAAAAGTAAAGTAAATACCTTTGCATCAAATCATACTGTCTACATATAAAGTTGAAAGTGACAGTCATGTTACATCCAGGCTCCATGTTTTATCATATCTAAACAAAGATTTGAGCAAAAAGAAGCATATCTCTATCTACCATATCATTTATATGCTTTTTAATATGCAAATGTGGGGAACGACCTAAATTGACAACCTGTTTTTTTAAGCTTGACATTGCTGAAGACCATTTTATTCACATGTGTTATGCTATTTGAAACTTATATTTCCAATAAAAGTACATTTATAACATGTAAAAGGTTTTTTTATAACTTAATAACTTCAGAAAATTGTGGTAAGTGAAAAATATTACATTTCATATAAGGCCTGACTTCATTTGAAAACCTCTATTTTTTGGCACAGGCTCATATAAAATTTACTTCTGGCCATTTTTTATAAGTCTGAAACATGAAGTATGCTATCTGTTGCTTTTAATAGGTGATAACTTATACATAGAAACATTAAAAAATGTAAGTTTTGGTATATTTTGGTTTTTAGAAGCCCAAATTTGATAGTTGAAATTGTTCTAATTCAACACCACAATTCAGCACCCAAAGTTCAGATATAAAAAATACCACATTTTTTATAATTGGTATCATATGGCTTTGAAACTTTGTAAACTGTTTTATAATACACTAAGCTTAAATCATGCCAAGTTTTATTAGAATTGGTCAAGTTTTAGACCCCTAATAGGCCCAAGACCACAATTAATGATCCCGCTTTTCGTTGTCCACGAATATAGTTCCTTTTAATTAGAGTGTAGTTTTTCTTAATTTTTTTTCTTTCCCTTCCTCACTCATTTCTTAGTTTTTTTTGGGTGGAAATAAAAGAAGAGAGGTGAAATAAACTTTTGGATGTTGTATTTTAACTGATTTTGATATGGAAAGAGTGATTAGGCCAGGTGCAAAAAGGTGATATTTACAGTTTTCGGAACATCTCTTGACTTGTCCATAGGGGTATGGAGGTGTATTGGCTAAATTTGTTAGAGTCATTGGTTCAATCTTTCTGAATTTTGGATATATTTTTGGACTAGTACTATACATTACACACACAAAAGATTTGACAAAAATGCAAGGTGCAATTTTTTTAATGATACAAAACGTTATAAAGAACTAATAGGGGAATTTAATTGTGGTCTGTGGCCTAAAGATAAAAAAATTCCTTTCCTAACTTTCATTCATAAACAAAGGGAAGATAATCGTTTGATTTTAACTTATCCAGGCCTCATGACTTAGTTAGTTGTTACATTTATAATGCCAACAGCATCAAATACCTAAGACTGTTAGATTACCTAGGATTTGAGTAATTCCCTGTTATTACACCAGGGTATAGTAAATATAAACAAATATTCACCACTTCAAAGTACCTGTTATATCATAGTCTGATTAGGGAATTAAAGTAGCTAATATCCCATAAAAGGGCCATCACCACTAATTTTGAAGAATAAATCAAAGTTATTGAATAATTTAATCTGTGGGATTTTTGTGGCTTACTCCAATGTTTACTAAATCATGCCTATTTATAAAAACAATTTCAATTTTCATCAATTGTAATTGTAAAATGAGAGTGAAATTTTGAATTTGTAAATATAATAGCTTCTCTGTTATTCTAAAACCAGTAATTTGGTTTAAATAAATGCTATGTAGTTTACAGCAGTAGAATATTTGATTTGTGTTCTCATGGAAATGAAAGAACTATTTATTTTCTACAGGATTGTGCATTTTCAGAAGAAAACTTTCAACCAATCCTCTAATCTTTTGTGCTAATTAGCTCTGACATAATTTATTTAACACATTTAGATAATCAAATTATCTGTTTGCGGAACCTGTAATATTAGAACAAACAAATTTCCAACATCTCTTTGCATATTTGGCCTTTGAGGGTTCTGTTTGATTAATTTTTTTAAGAAAACTTTTGTTTACTGCTTTCAACATCCTATCCCCCTTTATTTCATTTAAATTTTTTTTTGTAAAGTATTATAACTTTTGGCCGATAAGAGTTATCCTTATGAACTTAGGAAAACATTGCATAATATATTAAAGCAAAAAAAATTACATCAAAGTGAAGTAGACTTTCCTTATTACTGGTAATACCCTCCTCTCCCTTTACATAGAGATTGCACTCAGCTGACATCCTTGATTTTTGACATTGTTCCTTTTATGGTGACCATAAATAAGAAGTGTACTGAATTAATTTAAAGTTTCTAAACACAAATATTTGTTGTTTGTTCAAGGTCACTAACGATCTCATCAAGCTTTTGATGAAGAATGCTTGTACATTAATCCGTAATAATTACAAACTTTGATGTGATACAAAAAAGCGAGCAGTATAGTTGTGTACTCAGAAGAAGAAGCCTCTAATACAAAACAAATACAAGAAGCGCCACCCGTCGTTGACCAAAATATTGTATAAATATTTATGTTTTCTCACCCGATTTAATCATTTATTCGTAGCTGATAAACATATTTGATTTAACCATGGAAGATATCTGATACAGGGTAAAATATGGGCATTGTAACACGCTAATGTAAATAAAATTAAAAACTCTTTTTGAAATTATATTAAATTACGTTTAATGCTTAAAGCTAACCTATTGAAAATGTTAATATTTTGAGCAAAGTGTAACTTTCTGTATATAACAATGTTAGAAGTTAATTTGTTTTTCTTTTGTGTATATGTTTAGAATAAGATAATGCGATATACCACCCATTTTTGTTTGAGCTATATGTGTTTTACAACGAATTATCGTGACAACTTTCATATATTATCTACCAATTTTTTATTCACCAAGGACATGCAAGGTTTAAATATAAATCCAAATTAGTCACTGATATATATATATATATATATAATGTAATATACATGTCAATGGTTAGTTTAGGATTGCGAACAATATACACGATATAGGGAAATTATAAAAAAAAAACATGTAGAAAAACATAATAACAAATTTAAAAGAACCGCAATTACCAATATTGAATAAAAAATTAGGGGGTTAATAGTTTAATTTCACATTTGAAAATGATATAAGTTGATCTACATCCTGCATTGAAAAATAATATAAGTTTACATGGTGCATTACGTCAGTGTTTATAGCTGTAGATTTTTAGGCAATTTAAATAGTACAATACTGAAATGACAGTGCACATGGTGAAATGTCCCAATTAACTGCTTCACTAGTATTGATTGACTTTTATGTTGAAAGTCTAAATACAAGTTCATGTATAACAGAAATTTAACATTATCAATGACCCTTGAAAATAAGGTCATGGTCAGATGAACCGTGTCAGATGGACATGTACACCTTACAATCATTCTGGTAGTTGACCTTTTGCTATGGTATATGAGAAATGGACCTAATCACAAAATTTAGTGTTGACCAATTAACCATGAATATGAGGTCAAGGTCAAATGGAAATGTAGCAAGAACAATCATCATATGCTTCTTATATAGTTGACCTATGACATTTAGTTTCTGAGAACAGACCTAATAATGTATACTGTGTGTTGATAATTACTGAAACAAAAATTGAGGTCAAGGTCAGGGGAACCCTGTCTGATAGACCTGAAAACCTTGCAAAAATCTATATACCAAATACAGTTGTCCAATTGGTCATAATAACTGAAAAAATATACTGTAAAAAAACTATACAGTTGAAGTGCTCATTAGGAGCCAGCTGAAGCTTGCATCTGGGTGTGGGATTTTCTTGCTGCATTGAAGACCCATTGATCGCCATAGGCTGTTTTCTGCTCTTAGGTTGGATTGTTGTCTCTTTAACACATTCCCCGTTTCCATTCTCTGTTCTTTTAAATCATCAAAATGAGGACAAGCACAATCGAGATATGCTGAATGGATATCTAAGACCATAAGGCATCTCTTTATATATAGTATAGAAATTATCCTTCTCTTCTACACTCATACATATGTAGCTTTAAACCAAAAATCCAACCCTTAGCCACTGCCAGATGAGCAGTTCCATAATTGATACAGTTTTATCTTTTGTTAGAGATTCTGGCATTTAAATTGTAGATTTTGCTCAATATAATTTGACAATATTTAACCAAAACTGATGTTAAAAACTTTAGACCATTAAAATTTTTCACACATTTACAGGAATTTTATGTTTGATACATTCCAAAAACTATCAATAACTAAAGTGGTCTGAGATTTTGAAGTTGTTACAATAAAATTATCACACCTACCAACTTAGGTATATCAATTATTTAAAGTCAATTACTTGCAAATATTTCCATGTGAAGTAGGCTGAAAACTGACAAAACTTTAGGTGTTAGACAAACAATGATATAAGTCTAAACATGTATAGAAATAGTTTTAAAAGATGTGAAAACAGGAGGATATAAATAACACTTGTTTGGGAGGGTCCCTGAAAAATAGTTACAGTTGGCTGATCAATTCATCAACAGAAGGCCTATATTAAAAATCTTGTTGGTCTGTCTGTCTGTTGCAGTTTGGGGATGAATTAGTGGTTCTGTATCAGGGATGGCTGCCAAAGTTAATTACGCCAAAAACTGTCATAAATATTTTGTATTAATAGTAATATCACAACTATATTTATTTGAAATTTTGAAAATTTGAAATTTGTAGTATTTAGGTTAATTAAAAAAACATAAAAATCTAAGGGCCAATTTAAGCCCTTCCTGAACCTTTGTTGCATTGAAAGTATTTTTTCCTGAATTAGTCCTGAAAAAGTTTGAAAGCCTGCAAGTAATATATATATATATTAAGCTTAATCCTTCAAATATAAATAACTCATACTCACTTGACTGTCACAGTTAAAAAGTTAGGTCACATGACAATTACTTCTACTCATTCAGACAATGCCACATTGTCTTTTGAGGTCAGTATTTTCTTCACATTCAACTTTTTCACTGGATAAACCAAATTGAAGGAATGCTACCTGTAAAAATTTGAAATACAGATGAGCTTCTAGCAGCACATTGTCATATTTACTGCATGCTGTATGATCTAAATATGTAGGTTAAAGGGGTTCTCTGTAAAAATATAGATGCATTTGTTAGGATTTTCCCTATGAAACCTTGGGAAAAAAAATTTTAAATGTTGAAAGTTCAAATTTTCAAAACTACAAAAAATAAATCTCCACGTATTTATGAGTATCAATTTCCACACCTGTAGCTAGAGTGGTTAGGACACCCCCTCCCCCCCCCCAAAAAAAAATGAACCAAACTTTTAATATTTAAGAGTATTAAAGTAGAGATTCAGATTGAAGTTGGACTATTAAAGTCAGAGCATCTTGACCCTTATTTAAATAATCCCCCTCAGAGACATCTTGGTATTGGCCTTATTTCTGGAGAATAAAATCAAGTGCAAAAGAGGATATGGAGATTGAAAACTTGAAATGATACTTTGACCATGTGTCCAATAATGATTGTAAATTTAAATGGATTTTCAAAAACTGATGTGCTATAGTACCATTCCTTCTATATTACATATATATTTCAATATAAAACCATACTTTCCTACAGAACATGAAATAGACCTAGAAAAAAGACCCTTTTAGTAATTAGAATTTAAAATTTTGCAAGGTATGCATTTTATTTATAAAAGCAGATGGTTTCAATGAAATTTATTTGATTTTTAAATCCCCATACTTAAAAACTCTATGCTGTAATTTATCATGTTTATAGTTCATATTTGCACAAAGATGTCCGTTAAGTATTGTTTTCTGAATGAAAAATGATAGCATTTCATTACAATCTTTTAATGGATTTGTATGGCTTTTTACCTATTCTTTAATCTGTTTACAGAGATATATCATTGGAACTTTATCAATAATTTTATGAAATTTTGTATGAATTTGTAAGTATTTTAACTCGTTATGTGTGAAAACAGGATATTTACTTCAAAATTTTAACCTTTTCATTCATACAAACCAAATAAAATAAAAGTAACAACATAAATATGAACAAACTAAACACAAGATAAAGTGACTAAATGATCCACGGACTTCTATAAATTTTTTTACCTAGGTCAACAATTAAATTTGTCGAGTTTTGTTAAAGGTACACGTCCCTATTGATTCAATTTTAGTATTTACGACAGTTGACACTGCAGTTATTGTTCATTCATAACTTAAATGATCGAACAGGAAAACTGTGGCAAATATAATCAAATTGTCGCTGTGTGATCGATGTCTCGGACAACAAGATACAATATCAAAGGTGTGACATATACACTTATAATAAGATATATTGGACTGGTCTGATCGGTGTAATATCAATTAATGTTATGATACAGTTATTATGTGAACTTGACTAACATGATAAGGTAAGACACATCACGATTGATTTAATTTTTAAATTCTCATTCTTAATGGAAATCATAACTAATTTGTATTCCTAAATTTAATACTTATCTGTTTTGAGATTGGTCATTTGTAACACCATAAAATATAATAGTCTGAAAAATGAAAATAACAATTTACTGATATTTTAAGCAATTTTCTAAAATGTTATCCTTTAAAACTTCTAGTTTACATCATAATATACATAGACATAAAAGTCAGTGGTGCTCTATTTTTTAACCTCAAAAATGTAAATTCAGAAACTAATGTGTGCATTATTAATGCTAAACTGATTACTGGTAAAAAATGCAAGATCTAATCAAAGTGATTGCATATATTTTGTGAAGAAAAATCACTACTGGAGCTATGAATGCAAGTTTTTATTACAGTGAACCTGATAAGATCTCATTTTTCACATAAATAAAATCATTGCAATAATTTCTAAATTTACAGTAGATAAACCAGTAAGCTATCAGAATCTTTGGTATATAGACATTTTCAATATCACAGAAAATTGTGTAAAATTTAATTATAATGATAAGTAATTCTATTCACCTGATCTTAAATCTGTATATATATTGATATTAGACAGGAAGACATTGTTAAACATATATTGAGGGTGGGTTAAAAGTTATGGCAAAGAGATGGGATAAGTTTAAAGTAGGGAAATTTAATTACGTTTTTCTCAAGGTTACTTGATTATTCAATTTTATTGACATTTTGATTCTTTTCATTCAGTAAAAAAGTTTATCAATGGTGTCTTTTTTCATAGTTAGAAAAGCATTGCAATCAATTAATTGGACTATTGAGGCAATCCTTCTGTGAAGGGTTGTTCAAAAATGTCTTGAGCACTTGATATAGGTGGTCCCTCAAAATATTGATCTGTTTTTGGTTTTATTTTGTAAAAAAATTAATTGCCATTTGACATTTACCTTATATGAACCAATATCAAGATAAGGGGCCATTGGCCAGATGTAGTCTGCTCATAATCATACCCTGCAGCAAATGTTTCTAATTGGAAGCAGATAAATGAATCAGTAGCCTGCAAACCAAAAGAAAAATAAACAAATAAAAATATAAGACTCATATAAATAATTCATTGCATATTGTGGTCATCAATTATGCAAATTAACTTACGGACAGATTTTAGGCAATCATGCAGGCTTTATTATTGCACCTGACAAAAGAACACTTCTGCTCACTAAGAAATAAATGTCAATGGAAAATAAGCATTGAGCAGACATATTCAAGGCTATTAAATTTACAAAATAAGAAGACGAGTGGCTATATTTTTATGATACTATCATTTCGCTATTTTCTTAAAACCTCAAGTGTTTTTATGGTAGAAGATGAGCTTTAAGTGTCATAAATACTTGAAATTCATAGTTAATAGATATTTGCATAGGCAGATGTGCCATATGTCAGAAAATCAAATTATTTGTTGTATGTTTGTACAAATTTTGTACAACATATGTTTGACCATAATTATGTAGGATATAAAAATGAGATTTCTGACTTCTGGACATGAAATGAAAGTTTGGCTATTTTCCAAGAAAATAAAATAGTAAAAATCACTTTTACATCAATCTGTTCATTTTTACTTATATACTTTTCTTCAGTCCTTGCATTCGTTAAAATTATGAGCAGGATTATCATACTCAGACTCAGAAATCAAACAGTCAAAATAATAAATTTGGTGTTTCGAGCACAAACTTTGTACACTCAGTACTGAATATAGTTTCATCACCAAGATCCAGGAGTGTCTCATTATTTATAAAGAAATTATAAGTAAAAGTTCGTTGGAATTAAAATATCAGCCATATTATAACTCTATCATATGCACAAAAATATATAATATAGACTAATAACTTTTTAATTTAACATTGCAGTGAAATGGCGTCTTCTGGCACAATAGCAGTTGACGTAATATTTCACAACATGTGTAGCTCAAATTGGCATCACAGTACAACACAAATATGCAATAATTAAGTATGATACAGAAGTTATATAATATAAGTTATTAAGCAAATAGATTGACAAATTAGACCTCATTTGTCTAATCATAAAATCTTTTTTGTTTTTTGTGAGGCAATAATTAGCATACAGAGATGAATATAAATTATATCATTATATAGTTATGTAACTATTAGTATACGAAACAATGGTTTTCATCCTGACATCTGGTCGTACATGTATTAATCATTGTGGTTACAGTAAACTAAAATGAATTTAATCATTTGAACTATATTCATGTATTATACTTCTTTAAAATAAAGATCTACTGTTTGTTTTTTTCCGGCAACTTTAAAACCTCAATGAAAAAAAGGTTGATTGATTAAACTATGCTTGCCATCCAGCAAAACATACAAATATAGAAATGAAATTTCACTAGTCTGATGCACTAATGTGGATTTTCAACATCCTGTATCTCCAGGATATAGCCAGCGTGAAGACAGGTGACTTTACCTGGAGACAAGATTCTGAACCAGAGCAAACCAGCTTTGCTTTCATATCAAATATGCTGAGTGTGCATATTCACTTGACTAAGAACTTAATGGCATATAAAAAAAAAATTATGTATAATTTACAATCAGAACAACTCTTTTGAAAAATGTTCACTAAAATTATGTAACAGTCCCCTTTCACCAATGGATATAAACACCACTCAAATGTTTTTTCTTTCATTCTCCTTTTTTTTTAAAAACAAAGCTTAATCAATAATGTGACAGATTCAAATCAGACAACTAAAGCTGAGGATTTCATGCCTACAGATTCAATTCCATTAACCCAACACATTAATCCTTAGATTTATGGTGATAATCTCTTAATTCAAGGACCAAATCCCATCAGCAAAGAAATACATGGTGTTGATGGACTACTAATTACCCCTATTAATAAACAAAATAATGAGTTGTCTGCCCCTTGTGTAAACAATTCTACAACCATTATTACACAATATTTGTTCATCATGAGTATATCTTGTCATATTTAATGTCTAAATCAAGTGTATCAAAAAAGATTACAGCGTTTGGAAAACCTTAACCTAGTATCTGATATACCTATGAAAGGGAGATAATTGGCTATAATTACAAACATTCGTAACAGATGCACGATATTGATCTTTATCAAGTAACTATTGTTTCTATGCTGTTAGAAATTTGATGAGTTTGGAAAATGTACAGAGATTTTGTGTGCTGAACTGTCTGATGGTTTTTTGATGTTATTCACTATTTCAAGGTAAAAACTTTGTTTTGTTTTTTTTTCAATTAACAGCAAAATGTAAATATTTAAAAAAGATTTTTTTTATTTTGTTTTATGTTTCAACATTTTACACTAATGAAAGTTAAAATCTTAAAATCAAATTAATATTTTTTCCTCAATGTTAGACAGCAAAGCTATTTCTACATAACTCTTAATCATTGTAAAGAATTTTTTAGGCTTAGTACTAATAAGTACTAAAAATTAAAAAAAAAGTACAATAGTTCTGTGCTGTTTCATACTTTGATATCATGTCTTTAATACTTTTATCTTAACATAGAAATAAAATAAAACTGATAGATTGTAAACTTGATAAAATAAACCTATATATTTCTTATAAATATACATAATTCCCACTAGCCTTGTGCATTAACTAGTTACATTAACTTCAGCTTGTTAAAGGAATTCACTATAAAATAGAAGTAGAAATGTCTTTACATTTGGAATTGTCAACCATTCTACTGCAATTTCAATGCTAATCATTGAAAAATTGATTTTATATTGTTTTCTTAGTTTGAATATCACTATTTATTGGTAAGAATGACATCCTATGCTATTAACATAAGGATATATATATTTAGATGGTCTATTTCTGTTGCTACTCCATTGCTCTATACTACACATGAATTTTGACACATTTAATCATAAGTACATACTTATGACTTATTTTTTTTTACATCTGGGATATATTTAGGATAAAAATTTGCAATCTTATACCGATATCAGAAATCAAAGGTCAAAACTTAGGTTTCAATTTAACTATCATTATATCTATCTAGTATTTCACACATAACTTACACCAGTATTTTGATTTTCAGAATATAAAACAGAAGCTGATGTATTTTGAATCTTACACTTTTAATGTCTTGTAAATCTGGCCTCTTTAAAGTCTATGCTAGTTTTGTACATAAAACAGGCCATTAGTTTACTCATTTAAATTGTTTTTACAATTGTCATTTTGGGGACTTGTTATGCAGTATTAGTTTTGTTCATTATTGAAGATGGTACAGTAATCTATTGTTGCTAACTTCTACCTCATTTGGTCTCAAAGTGGAGAGTTGTCTCATTGGCAATCATGCAACATCTTCTTATTCTCATATTAACATTGAATGCTATTGCACTGTGCAGTTTGAGGAGCAGAGACATACAAAACATGACCTTATATTACATTTTAAAAGTACAATGACATCTGGTATGTCTCTTTGCAAAATAATGTGTAAAAAATTGCAAAAATCTTCTAATTTGTAAATTTTTCAATATCTAATTATTTTTTTACAGAAAATTACACTGGTTCAATGCTTTTAAAATTTGATTGTTTTTGTTGAATCATATACATGACTTAACAGTCTAAAAATTTTTGGGAGGAATAGATATACTTGAATATTTGACTTCTTTTTAAAATCTCATAAAATTGATAAATTAGCAATTTTTACATAACTTATTATCATAAATTATCTGGACAATAAAAGTTAAATTTGTGATGGAGCCTCTAAGAAAATATTAAATGCTATTTTTTTTCTCTGCATATTTTTCTCTCATAATTTGAATACACATATATATGATAAAATTATCACTGAACTGACAAACTGTTGACAATTGAAGTTTGACTGATGATTAATATTGTTAGGAAATCGTTGAAATGTAAAATTTTATCTACATTTTTTTTCTCCTCCAAAACATCATATATTATGTATGTGTTAATTTTTCTTTCTATTAAAGTTAAGAT